GGTTTTTCATTACAAAGAATAAAGTTGAATCTTTTATTTTTTTATCTTAAATTTATACACACACGCACACACACACACACACACGCGCGCGCGCGCGCGTGCACACATACATCTATTTATAAAAGGGCTTCATTGCTTTTAGTAATTAATTATTGGAAAATGAACCGCTACATGACTTTTTAATATTAAATAATTTTAAAAAAATTTGTTATTACTTATATTTATTTTCTATATAAATGTTATTGGAATTCTTTTTTTTTTTTGTTTTATAATTACCTTATTGCATTCTTACCTTTTCTTTTTCCAACAGAATATTTTAGATTTTATTGTTCTTCCATCTATTCTCGGTGCTCCCGTCAAATATTTAAAAGTTTCCTCTTTTTCACCGAGTTGCTGTAAATGCATCACATCTATTTTTCAGCAGACAGTCTTCGTAGAAAACTTGTTCCTAGTATTTTCTTTTTACTCTTTACTTTAATTGCAGTACATTACTATCTTGCAAAACAATTCTGATAAATATTTTCTGCTCTACATGATTAACGAATTTCATACAAGAGATAGACATACGGAAAGAATATTCAACGCGATGATAGTAGTAATCTACAAAAATTCAATTTCTACCACGCAATCTTCCATCGATCACGATGGTGCCTACAATTCGTTACAAATGACAGAGGATCTTCATAACATCTGCGGATCTTTCTTTATTAACATTTAAATTCAAACAGAGAATCTTCTCTGGTAGAGTGGACTATCCGTACCTCGGACAGGATATTCATATATTACAATAACATTGCAAAATCATAGGGTAAAAAAACGAATTTTGTTCTAGTACAGTTTTCATATGCTTAAATGAAAATTGTATCCTTACTTGAATTTTCCTGAATGTTACTTCCCTTCGTTCATATCGATTTACTCGTATCGTAATGGCATAGTGTTAAAATTTGCACCGCAGTAGAACCGCAGTAATAAATCGATATCAAAACGTATACTTAATCGGAATTTACTTAAATATAACAAGGAAAACTCAGCATAAAATAAATAGATTTTTTTTTATGTCACGGTAAAAGTTTTATCGTGTAATTCTTTTACGATATCTAACAATTGTGCGTCGGTTATTTTTTCTCCCTACTCTTTATTCTGTTATTTTTAATAAAAGTTCTAGGAAAAAGTACAAGTCATTATGATTTTTTTTTTACAACAATAGATGGTAATAAAGCTTTTGCTAGAATAAGAAAAAATAAAACTGCAAATTTTCTGCGCTCGTAATATGCTAGTAATATGCTATGTTATGTAATTTTAGTTATATCATAATTCAGAAATACTTTATATTCGAATAACGTTTAATTTATTACCAGACAAAAGGAATTCTGCATCATAAACTTTTTCTGAACATCTCAGATTTTTATTTTTCTTCATACAACAGGATCCAATATTAAATATCAGCCATTCATGAATTCGTGTTCATATTGCGCGAGGAATAGCTTCAGCATTCTTATCGTGCTTCTTTATCGATTTTTGCGCGATACTATTCATTGACGAAACGTGGCAACGTAACTGAGATTCGATTAATCGTTCTATCGTTTCACGAATCGTCAGTTCATCGTCGCCTCGAGCAGAGCTTAGGAGATTTCACGGTTATTCCTTTCACTTGACTTACCAGCAATAGCTTCCGGTTTCATCTCAAGTACAGTGACTTCAAGTGCTTCGCTGTATAAAGTACACATATACGAACCCGTAGTTAAGAACGTGAGAGTAATCAAAAAGTCCAAGTTGAGTGGATACTATAACGCATTATCGAAGTGCATCGATTGAAAATCTCAGAACATTTTCTATATTTATCAATATTATTTTATTAACTCTGTAGCTAATTCGATCATGTGAATGAATTGATTTCTCACTCATAACATAATTTTTTCGTATTGTATATGATTTTGTTGTTACTTGATTTGCTGATTTAATTATTAAATATCTTAAATATATAAATATATGATATACGAGAGGTGTTTACAGATTCCATGTTTAATTTTCTCGTTTAATAATGCAGTTTATTTATTAGATACTATTGAGAAATTTCTATTAATTGGAAAACATATAATATCGAAATTTGTTAGACTTGATCTTCTAAATTATTTGAGGAATTAAATTATTCATAATATTGATTCGATGAATGTCTAACTAAAAATACGCCATTGTAATTTTATAATAAATTCTAGTTATTTTAATTTGGGCGCAAGTTAGTCTGAATATATGAATCACGAATCACTAATTAGCATACGATAAAATGAATGTGATAATTGGTGATAATTTTCTAATAATACTTGATACCTGGAAATTAATCATCGAAGTCAATATATACTTCTCAATTCGAATCGTATTTTAATTATCTGGAGATATTGATAATTTTATTAATTTCGGCATTAAGCATGATGCGAGACACTGCCATGTCTTCTTTACGCGAACCGGCGAGTCTAATAAACACGATTGAAATAAATTTTTTAATATTATATAATCCACATATTCTCATTTATAGTTATTTGTATGCATAATGGATGCATTCTATATATATGTGTATGCAATTGACAAGCAAAGATATTATTCTTCTAAATGGATAAAAATCGTTTTTGGAAAATTTTTTCTGAGTGAAGCATACAGCATACATAATACCTTTGGCCATTCTGAACTTTGATAGTTTAGTGATAAAGTTGAAGTGCTTGGTAAATTGACGATCCGTTTCTAGCACATTCAATTTCTTCAAAAGTATTTGTGCAACGAATAAAATTGAAATCTGTATAGGTTTAATATTTACGCATTTCGATATTTATACATAAATATCAAATAAATTCAAATAGCCACTATATTATAAATATATTAGATGCATTGTTTGAATGTAATTTTGATACAAAATCGATTTTAATAAATTTGCTAATAAGATTTATTAAAATCGATTTTAAACAAAATCAATTTTAAACAAAATCGATTTTAATAAATTTACTAATAATCATTTTATTAATTATTGAGTTTTTAAGAGATTCTCGTTCTATCAGAGGATATTTGATACATATCCGTTTGCAATTCTTCGAAAATTAGATTACTCCGATGTGTTACGTTTTCTGTTTGAAGTATCGCAACGATTAGTGAATTTCCAATACAAAGTTTGCTTTATTACTTCAGGTCCGTTATATCTGTGCGGCGGCAATAGCTGGTTCCATTCACAGACACTTCATTTTGCTGCAGAACAAACAAGCTTTTAATCACAGTTTCAGTTTGCCGCTATTGTCTTTGCAGTGCAACGCCCCGCGTTTACTCGATTCGCGCTACCATGGTAAAATCAATATCCACGTACCGCGTTTAATATTTTTCCACGGTTACGCGTTTGTAACTGCCTTCTGAGGATGGCGTCGGGATTACGCAATACACGTACTCCATTGTACTCTGCGGAAGCGCATAAAGCTGGCGACATAACGGGGTCTCCTCATTGGCGCTTGAATATTGGATAAGTTCGGCGGCGAGCACGAGGAAACGGAGCGATTACGCCCGCCCGTTTCCCCGTACCATCGCCGCTTCGTGCTCGAGTTTCGTCGACAATGACTATAAGAGAGACCCGCGAAATTATTATGTTTCAGTTCTGCCCCGTGAAGAGCCCGTTATCGTATCGGAACGCGATCGCTACGACCCAGGAGACATGTTGAGGGCAAATTGCAGCCTGCCGCCTTCGAAGCCACCGGTTCACATCTCATTCACACTGAACAGCATGCCGGTAAGTGATGCCTATCGCCCATGATTGTCGTATTATTGAATCAAGAAGCGAGAGAATGTGTCAGCGATGGGTTTTCGATGTTATACTTGCGGCTGTATGTATAACAGTATAGAATGACCTTTTCAAAGAAAAGATATACTGAAGTAAATAATGAACGAAATTGTATCCCTTAATACACCATGATCATTCATGTTCTGCGCATTTCCTTTCTTTGAAATACTAGGAGCACCTGATCTTTATTCTTTTCTTATTTTGAATATATATGAACTTTACAAATATTTTCTAAAAATATTAAAATGCATATATATATATAT